TACTTAAACTCAGAGTCAGATATTAACCAGACACACAGACACACACACCTACACCACACACACACACAGACAGACACACACAGACACCTACACCTACCTCACACAGTAAATAATTAGAAACAGCAGTCGAGGGTGAACTCCGTGTATTTAAATCAAGGCTTTGAGCTAATTTTCTATTTTAATCTGAAATATTAATTCAGTCGTTTTTTTTCCCAATCATTTTTGGTGTTTTCTTGTACCTGTTGTAGTACCTGATCATCTTTGTGATGTCACCTCAGTTATCACTCGTGGTCTGACGTGACCCTCTCTGAACTTCCTACATCTCAGGAAAACTAAAGATCCAACTTGTTGTTTTTGGCCGTCCTGTGGAACTCATTAATTCTTCTTGGCACTTCAGGATTTTCCATTTTGACCAACAATCCGGGTGTAGCCCCTGAGAGTGGTTTGGAGTTGGACAGGCAGGTCAGTGCTGTTGTCAAAACAAACTCCTGTGACCTTCGACCTTTGGCTTCAATCAAGTTCTATTTGTCACGGAGTCTTGAAGGTTTGGAACTTTGGAATAGAAAGCTCAGATTTTAATTTAATCAAAGTTTCTGTCATTTCAAATATTTACCCTTCAGTTCGTCCAATCAAACGGTTCTGGAAGTTGAACAAAACTATTGTGTTATAGTTTTGTTCATTCTCTACTCAACGATCAGGTCTGTAAAGCACGGAGACCGGTTTTAGAAAACAGAAAAGAAAAGAAGAATCAACTGATGTTGCCAAGAGTTTGGTGAGGAAGTGAAGGAGACACTGATAATGCTGAGCTCCATTAAATCCAAACGTCCTATCAGTCTTCCTCATCTCCTCCTTCCTCTGCAGCTTCACTTCCTGCTGCACTTCCTGGAGACAGGCGGCAGCTGGTGATGATGGTTCTCCAGCCACAGACTCTTCTGGGCTTGTCTGCCTCAACAAAAGCCAACTTCACTGTGACGAGGTGGAACACGGTGATGGTACCACCGCTCTCCTTCTGCACAGTACTCTGTCATTGAAGCAAAATGCCACAACATCTCACCCTCTAATTACCGTGCTCTGTATCTGAGTGGACGAGACAAGGCATGCTGGGTAGGAGCAACCGAGGACAAGCTGTCGAACATTAATGACTGTGGTTCAAGTAATAGTTCAGTCATTACCCACTCTGAGATGCTGTCCTACAGTCGGACTGACTGTACAGCAGACGCTGCTAAAACTGAGTTCTTCCATTATCCAATAACACACCGGTGCCTGGTTAATACGATGGTGACCAGTATTTCTGGACTTTATCTCACCCTTATGGATTTTTTAAAATATTAAACATATATGAGTTTTGTAAATGTGTTGGTTTGTTGTGTCAAAGTTCGTAGAGAAAACTGCTGATTTAAGGTGACAGGTAAACAGCAGTTCCTGGTCGACTTTCCAAACATTTTCTCAACATTTCACTCACTTGTTTAGCAGCTAAATATTTCATTTCTTCATTTGTTTCCAGAGAGACCCCCAGTGTCTCAGGGTGCAGAGAGGCGGGGGGGGGGGGGGGGGGGGGGGGGGGGTGTCACGTCAACAGCACAGTCAGCACAGTGTTAAGTCTGGTATTTAAAAACCCAGCATCTGTTCTTTCTGTCCTTCTGGAACCTCACACTGTCACAATCCAGTGAACCCTGTCTCTGACACAAAGCCGTCCTTTCTTTTAGTAACATCTACACTTTTCACATTTTCCCAAAATTCCCTCCTGAAACCTTCTCTCTACCAGGGAACCAAAAAACCCTTCACAATCATTCTCTCCTGCTCCCAAGAATGTGAGCTGTGAGGAACTCAAACCTGGACATTCCTATCTGGGCAGGAACATCCAGCCCGTCACCCAAGAGCAGAGATGGAGAGGGATAATCCAAGGGGGGAGAGAGAGGGAGAAAAAGATTTACAGCAGAAGACGGAGAAAATATTGACTCCACAGAAAGGAGAGAAAAGGTTCTTGATCAGAACGAGTCGATAAATCCAACAGAACCCGGGCGGCGGCAGCTTCCTGTCAGTGAGACTGAATATTCAGACAGAAGTGAATTCATCTCTGCTGTAACAGACGGAAAACGCTTCAGAGGAGGAGAGGAGACGGGGGTCGACAGAAGGAATCTGTTTGGGAAAGATCAATATTGGAAATGACCTTAATTTCTGTAAAAATATGTTTAAGGATAATTTCAATTGTCTTTGGACAATTCAATCAGTGGTACAACTAGTAATTAAGCTACGTTTTAGCCTTTAAAGTGCAACTAATGTCTCTACTTTTTTTTCCCTATTTTTCTGGCCGACATTCAGCTTTTGTGCCAATCTTTTCAGACTTCCTTTACATTTCCTGTCTTTTTTCCTCTCTAATGTTTAGCTATTTAACAGCAAACACTTTTAGTTCAAGCTAACATTTAGCCTTTTTAGGCTAACATGTAGTTATTGTCTTGCTAATCTTCCAGCTAGTTTTAAGGGTTTTTTCATGGTTTTTTACAGTAAATATTGTATTTTTTTATCTTTTTTCTGTTTGTTATTTGTCTCTGAATTAACTCTAAACCCTTTTTTTTATTTTTGTTGATTTCACATTATTTATGTATATTATGGCAACATTTCTGATTTTCAATGGAACGTCAATTCTTGTTTTTTTAGCATTAACGTTGACTTGTTTCTTCATGTTTACTTCTAGATGTTGTTCCGTATTTTGGGCCAACGTTGAGTTGTTTCTTCATGTTTACTTCTAGATGTCATTTATCTTTTTTCATTTGGCTGCGTCTGACCAACAGTTACGTCATCTGTGAAGACCGTGAAAAGGCACAGGCCGACTGAGCAGCAGTTAACACACGTTAACTCTATATTTTAAGGCTTTATTAAAAACGTTCATCATTAGAATTTCAAGGGTAATTTCAGGTTTTTCAAGGGTATTTTCCCTCCAACCTTTACTAATGTCTGACGTTAGTGTGAATGAGCCTCATCCCCCCCCCCTCACACAGACACACACACAGACACACACTCTATCACTCTTTTTCTCTCGACACCACGGCCGTCTGAAGCCTCTTCCTCCACCACCAAACCACACAATCGTTTCCAGTCGAAGGCAGAGCCAAGGCTTTCCCCACATATAAGCATTTTTCTCCTCCAACAATTTGCCAAATGCTTCCTTTAAGGATGTGCATGTGTTTAACTTGGGTA